AAATCCCAACTTATAGTGTCAAAAGCTTTTCTTATATCAAGTTTAAAAACCATGTTTCCACCTCTGCATTTTTTGTCAAGATCTTCAATCAATTCCTGAGCCGGCAAGATATTATCAGTAATTTCTCTACCTTTTATAAAAGCCGATTGTTGAGGGGATATAAACTTCACAAGATGAGGTACAGCCTTGTAACCATAATTTTACTCAAAACCTTAGAGATAACACTAGTGAGTGAGATAAGACGGAAATTATCCCAAGTAATTTTGTCTTGCCCTTTAGAAATGAGAACAATAGAAGCGGAAATAGTTACCAGGATCCTCTCCCAGAAAGAAACTTTGAATAACATTAACCACTACTTTTTTAATGATATCCCAACATTTAACATAAAAGGTAGAAGAGTAACCATCAGGACCAAGAGACTTGTGGAGCTTATGGATTTGAGTGTAGAAAGAATTTCTTCTTCATCAGGAACATGGGCGTGAGATAGGTTATTAACATAATCAAACTCATCCTAAAAAACTTGAGTATCAACAGTAGTAGTAATACGATTTTGCTAAAGCAACTCAAAGAAATGAAGCACAACACTCTCAGCAATCTCATTAATATTAGTTAGAGTTTGGCCTTCAGAATTTTTAATTTTCAGGATGAAATTTATATTGCGCCTATGTTATAAAGAGGCATGGAAATAATTTGTATTTCTATCCCCCGCAATGAAGTGGAGATCATTTGATTTTTTTTGCAGAAGACCTTCCTCCAAGTTATTTGCAAGTCAGGTGTGCTTGAGTAGTAAGATTAACCATCTCAGGTGAACAAATAACCTGAGATTCCAAAAGATCAACAGCTTCTTAAGCTTCTAGAACTTTAGTATGCACATTACCGAAAATCTGGTGGTTCCATTTCTGAAGTTGTGCAGCTAATTTTTTATGAAGTTGTCAGAGGATAAACCAGGATGAGCTAGCTCCATCATAAGTCCATACCTATTTAACAGTGCTAACAAAAGTTTAATGAGAAGCCCAAATGTTAAGAAATTTAAATTTGGAGAATTGGGTTTATCAATAAAAGCAAGAGTAAGGAGAATATGATTATGATCAAAAGAGATATAGCTCAGATGTTGAACTTTAGAGATGATGAAATAATTAAGAGATGTTGAGTTTGCAAGGAAATTATCAAGACACTGTTGGAGAAAACCTCTCCTCCATGTATATGGAGAGCCAGAGTAGCCCAAATCAAATAACCCAGCTTCAGACATAGAATTAGAAAATTGATTAGGAAGGCCCCCTCTTTATTTCTCAGAAGGCTTCATGATCATATTGAAATCTCCTCTAAGAAAAAGATTTTCAGAGATGGAAGCACCCAAAATCTCGAGTTTCTTCCAAAGTAAGAGTTTGTTAGGTAAAAGAGAGCTAGCATAAACAAAAGTTCCCCAATCATGAAACTGATCCAACCGGAATGAGTGAGAACAAACTGCTCATCATCCTCCATAATAGATAATGTGACTTTTCATTTCCAGAACACCCAAATCTTGTTGTTCTTATTGCAGAAAAATTGAAAGCTTTTGAAACACTGTAGAATTCTACCCTTGTTAACATGCACAAAAGGCTCTAGTATGGCAAAGATAGAAATCTTGTGGACCTTACAAAGATATTTGAGCCTATTAAGGGAGGAAGGGTCCGCCACTCACCTTATATTCCAAACCATAATGTTAAATATTATGTCTTAAGTCTGCCCTTCTAGAAGATCTAGAAGGGTTGCCTAATTGTTCCCCATCCGAGTAATAGGTATCATCCTGTATAATATTGCCAACATTCAGACTTGAAAGCTCATTTTTCCTTTTGCACCTTTTTTTTTGCATGTTTTTGTATTTGGCATTCCCCCTCTAAGGAAGATTGGGCTCGTTGAAGAGGATCTTTTGATACATCATTTGGTAACGGAGGAGGAAAACCATTTTCATGAAATTGTCTCTGATTCTCAATCATATTATTCCTGTCAATGTTGGCATTAATAAATGTCAGAGGAGTATTACTATTAGCAACTAAATGAAGAGGAGTATTATCAGAAAATGCTTCAACATTTAGATCAATAGAGGAATCAGCATTATCATTGATCTCTTGAGATAGTGCTTGGAATAAAGTTGGCAAATGGCTGGGGTCTTCTCCATTTATAGGGTGTTGTTGCTCCTGTGTATGATCATTAATCTATATA